TCATGTTTGACTTTGGTATATTTTACAAAATCCCTAAAACTAAATTCAGTCTTCATATATCCCCCGTGAAGAATGGTGATTTAGCCAGTGTGCATGATAGCACTTACCACCTACAGCTGCTGCTCTTAAGCAAAAACAGTCCTGCCTTGACCAAGGGTGTCTGCCAGCCCACCAGCTGCTCTAGTGGTCTGATCCGTCCCTCCACAATTTTAGGAATGCATTATGTATAAAAGTTTGAGACTACCAAATTTTGTTCATCTGTAAAACCTTGAAAATGAAATAATTTCATGGTCATAAAACTAATACCAATAGCTACCTAAGTGGCTTTCCTAATCAGGGTCAGATCTAATTTGTGTGAATAATGACAATGGAGGCTGGGAGCTGATGAAAAAAACTCTAGTTTCCATACAGTGCATTATAAAGCACTGAAAGATTTATGCAGAACAGCCCCATTTTGTGAGTTAACAAACAATTTCAAATAGGTACTATACACACAGGAGAAGAAAGGCGTCATTCATTATCAACAGTATATATGCTTGGAGGTAATTTTCTTACTGCTTTCTTGTGTTCTCCCGCAGTTAGGAGGATCACATCTTCCTCTTGGATCTCCATTAGTCTGGTTAATTCCGATCTTTGCTCCTCCATTATAAATTTAGCAACTGGAGAATTCCAGTTTCTATTGGCTTTCAGGAATACAGGTAAGACTTCCTGTGACAAAGAAAAAGACTTACTCACATTTCTTTTTTTAAAAAGGCAGGACTTATTTTCTTGTAGTACAAATATTTCTTGTTCCCCAAAGAGAATTTACATGAGATTACCTCTATTCCCTCCCTGAACACCTTCAAAATGACACTAAAGGAATTTAAAAATATAATCTTACCACAATGAAAAAAAAAAAAAGAATGAAGGATTGGGAGGAGGGAGGTGTATAAGCAGAGGAGAGATTTCTGCAAATTTTTGGCGGATTGTAAGTGAATGGAGTAGGAAAGATTAAAGCAGCAAGATGCAGGAAGCTCTGGCCTAGAGAACAATGGAAATGGCCTTAGCATAAGAAGGAACTGATGTTACCCTGCAGAATCCTGGAGAATCTCTGGACTCTTAAGCCTTGAGTCCCCAGGGTGACAACCAGTGGTCTTGCTGTTCACCCCAAACTAAACCTAACCATTTACAAAGCCTCTCCAAGGACTCTGTGCTTCCAACTAGCTTTTGAGATGTCACATTCTAAAACATGTGCAGACAACCAATAACAACCACCACACACTGAAGAAACTCTGCGGTATTTACTTAAAAAAAAAAAAAAAAAAAAGACCAAGATAAACATAAAAAATGACCCTAGAGAAAAGAGATAATTTAGGGACCAAAAGAGGACTTGAATGTTTTGAATCCTCTAAGGCACTCAAAAAGATTTTTTATCAATAAAACCAGAATGAGATGCAATGAAAAGAGCTACTGGGAAATAAAAATATGACTTCTGAAAAAAAATTCAGCAGAAGAGTTGAAGAAATCTCGTAGAAAATAGAATAAACAAGACAATGGAAATGATGGAAATAATACAGAAAATAAAGAGACATATAAGTTAAATAAAAGGGTTCAACATACAACTAATAGAAATTCCAAAGAGAGACTAGAGAAAATGATGAAATCAAAAACAATTAGATAATAAAAGAATTTTCTACAGATAAAAGACAAAGCCTTCATACTGAAAGGGCCCTTCAAGTGGGCAACCTATTGAATAAAAAATGATCCAGAGCTACACAAACTGTGAAATAAGGTTGAAAGCTGCCAAAGAGAAAAACATCGGGTCTTCTATAAAGGAATAAATTCATACAAGCATGAGACTCTCATCAGTAACCGCAGATGGGAGAAGACAGTAAAGCATTGCCTTCAATGTTCTAAGTCTGTGCTGTCTGGCCACATGCAGTGGCTATTTAAACTAAAATTAGTTTAAATAAAGTAAAAAGTTCAGTCCCTCAGTTATACTAGCCTTTTCAAGCATTCAATAGCTACACTGGCTAGTGGCCACCATTAGGACAATGCAGATATAAAACATTCCCATCACTACAGAAAGTTCTATTGGATAGCACTGTTCTAAGACGATATGGCTGTCAATCCAGAATTTTATACCAAGCCACATTATTATTAAAGTGTAAGGTTTTTGAACATAAAGGCATTTTTAGACATGTAAGGACTCAGAAAACTGATCTCTCCCATGCTTTCTTAGAAGTTACTTGAGTACACACCCCAGCACAAATAAGAAGGAAGAAGATCTGGGATCCAGGAACAGTGGCTTAAACTCATAAGAGGAATGAAGACAAGGTTCAGAAAGGCAGCTGTGCAGTAGGTACAGAGTAACTAGGTGAGGTCTGTGTATGGGAGCCTCATCTTTCCGTTTTTTTTAACCATGTGTATGCATTATGTTGCTAAAAATTAATACGTATAATAAAAACAATTTGAAGGCAAATCAAGTTGAATGTTAATAAATTAAAAAATAATAGTTGTACCCATTTCTTGTATAAAAATTAAGGAAATTAGGAAGGAAAAAGGAAAACAGAAGAAGAAAGAGAAGAAAAAATGTAACAGTCCCATCAACCAAAGGCTGCCAAAGTTAACCTTCAGGCTTATTTCCTGGTCCTGTGGTTTTTAGATGCAGAATTCATATACTAGTAAAATAGAAATAAACATAATTGGGAGATAAAGGGTTGCCAATTTTTAATTTTGTCAAGGAGGGACATAAAACAACCCTCCCACCTCTGCAAACAAGGAGAGAAATAAAGGATAGTTCTTTATGTTAAATTCATTTTATTTCATGAAAAACTTTTTATATTGCCCTGTCTTGACCCATTTTGGAAATCATTATCTTAATCTTTATTTCTTATTGAAAAATATCTTCATTGTTCTTCGAGCTTGAGATACGAAGCTTGGGATGTGATGGGGTGGAGGTAGGTAGCCCATTTTCAATATACAAACCTAGTGTTTTTACATGGTTGTGATCAGTATATATAAAATACTGAATCCTGTTTTCTTACAAATCATTACAACATGAGTATTTTTTCCTATATTAATATTCTTAGGATACTTTCCTAGGGACCATGTTAAAAAAATAGGAAATAATTTTTAAAAAGAGCTTTACATTAATTCCTTTGATTCTACCACAATTTATTTAATCACTCCCATCTGGTTTCACTTTATTCTTGTAATAAATGATACTGTGAGGAGCACAAAGTCTACTCGTATCTAGGCTTCTTTTTTTAAAGTATATCACAGAACACTACTGACTCAAACAGCATGACTCTTTTTAAAAAAGTTACTGATTCCAAAAGGGCCAAGGCAATTTACATTTCCACTGACCATGTAAGAACCCATTCCCCACTCCTTTTCCTCCCTATTTTACTTCTACTAGACACCAAACCAAGAACACAAAATGTCTGTCAAAAAGGTGTATTCAGAATTCTAAAAAAACGGTATAAGAAGAACAATAAATACATGCTTTCTTTCACACCTGCCATGTTTTCATTTAAACTTTGGGCACATGGGGCTCTATTTATTTTCCTAACTGGATTAAAATACCTTGGTTTATTTAAAAAGGCTAGGGTTGAACTTTCACATTCTGATTAGTGGTGAATTCAACTAAGTTGAAGTCTTAGAGTTATACCCAGGAGTAAGATTAACTTTAAGAATAAAAAGAAGAAAAGCCTGAGCAAGAGTGAGACCCCATCTCTACTAAAAATAAAAAATTGGCTGGCTGTGGTGGCGCATGCCTGTAGTCCCAGCCACGCGGGAGGCTGAGGCAGGAGGATCACTTGAGCCCAGGAGTTTGAGGTTGCTGTGAGCTATGATGATGCCCACTGCACTCTAACCAGGGGGACAGAGTGAGACCTTGTCTCAAAAAAAAAAAGAAGAAATGTAGAAGAATGATATGAAATAATAAGACCCTCAAAACTAATGATAGCTCAAGAGTTTAAGCAATTATTAGTTAAAATATTGAATCTCCATCAGGAAAAAACTGCCCTAATTAACATCTTACCTGATTAAAATGGTCAGCTGCAAATTTTTGGATAGATTCAATGTCTCTCCTTTTTAAGTATTTCTGATGAAAGAAAATAAAAGTAAAGTTGTCAAGATGGTACTTAGCTTCATAAACATGTTTGTGATATCAAAGGGGACATAAATATATTTTGTGTCTTTCCATTACAATAGTGGGATTTAATAAAAATTTAATTTGTCCTGCCAAATGATGAATTCTTAAAGCTTGTTACAGGGCTTATTTTTTCCCCTCGATTATACAGGTCTTACTGGAAATAGCTGTCAATGTATTCCACAGAAGACCCTGTATACGTAATATGCAGGATAAGTGTTCAAAATGAATCTCTACAACTGGATTATAAAAGAAAAACAACTTTGAGATCAATAAGAGGATTTGGAATTTGATTATTTCAGATTTCTTAAGATCCTTGTATCTTACTTTTTCTAAATTATCTCAATGTCTTTCTAAATGAGACACTGTGGTTATCATTATGTTATGCAGCTTTGAAATGATTCCACTTACAGAGTCTGAAGTTTGACGTTTTAGAGTATGTTCCCCCTCCCTTCGAGAGTGTGGTGTCTTATCAGATCCGTATGTGAGAACCTGGAGTGAACTCCCTCTTCCCCTCAGGAATGTCACCTCAAACCTTACCAGACCCTCATATGTGAATTACTGACCTCAACTACTGGACTTCAAAAACACATGCAAACTCCAGAGGTTGACAGACACTTTGACAGTGTACGCTGTGACAGGCTGCTCTCTGGCAGCTGCTTCTCTAGACTCTGAGACAGGGCAACACCCTGTTAACCTTGGAGCTCATCTCACCCATCCACACTGGCACCACCCTCCAGCATCTAGGGACCTTTCATGGAGTCTACGTTGGGGTGGCCAAACCAGCTTCTCCTGAGGATTCCTCGTATAAAGTTACACCTCAAACTTTAAGTATTAACAGTTTTTACTTTCCACAGAGGCCTGCTTCCATTCTAATTCAGCAACTGGACTTTAGTACTTTTGGAACTCACTCCCTGTGTGGTTAATGTACCTTGTCTATTGAGTATATTCCCGGTGAGGTTTGTTCATGTCATTCTCCCCTGCAAGCACTGTGACCCTAAGAAAAAGTTCTCCTTGTATGGCAATAAACTGTGTGATTTGTGAAATCCTACTTTCGTCATCTCCTTGTTTCCATCATACATAACACATCATTAACTATATTCATGGGACATTTAACTAAGTATGGGAGGTCATAAAAAGGTGAAAACATGATTCACGTCCCTACACTTCTTGTATCTACTCAGGGAAAAACAGACATACTCAAAATGGGCTAGAGACAGTATGTGATACTGAGCTCACCTGAACACATTTGTTATGTCTGGACTACAGTACGGACACCACACTATTTTCCACTGAATATATGAAGTAAATAAAAAGTAATGAGACTGAGTTCTCACCCTATTCCCAATATACTCATCTGCTTATATATCCAAATGAGTAGTCTTTCAAAATCATAATCTTATTGAAAATACATCAGAATGTCTCTTATTAAATGACTTTCACAGCAGGTGTACTAACTACAGGAAACAGATGTGTCCTGTTGCTTTAGAGTCAATGCTTGCTCAGCCCAGCCACTCTCTCTCTCTCTTCTACCCCTACTTACTTCCTTTTCTTTTTGCTTTTTTAGTTCTACCTCTTCTTCCCGTTACTAATGCAATTGAGACGAAAACCCTCAAAAGACCAAGAATCAACATGCAACGACTATGCTGGAACTGACGTGAGGTCGAGAACCTTTGGACAAACTGAGGCTGGAGACAGAATACTGAGTATTATTTTACGCTCACAAAGTATTCACGATGAAATGATCCCAAATGAAGTATACAAGTTCTTTATAGCATTGTTTAAAAGGAAAAAAAAAGCCCTAGATCTTAAATATAAACTGATAGTCATAAAGTTTTATTGTTTTATACTTATCTTAGAGTTTTAGGGACACTTTTAGACTTTATATAAAAACATATTATTTAGAGGTAAGTGCCTTTCTGAAGTTTAAATGTGTCAGTGTTGAACACATTTACTTCTCAAGCATACATTCTACTTTTTTAATTTTTAAAATTGTAATTTCTTTTTTTTTTTATAGCAGTGACTAAACATGCTCATCAAGCATACATTCTAGAGAAAACACAGATTCATGCTTCGCTTACTGCTCCTTCAGGGACACACATGGCTTTGACGGTTCCTTGGGGTTTACGAAGTGCATCTTGAAGAAATCCAATCTCTGTGT